CAAATCATTGTATGTAAGACAATGCTTGGCATTCAAAATCGCGTGCTGTTGCGCGGCCCCATGCCGCAGCGATGTCTGTCCATTACTGAACCCGGAGAAGAAACGCGGATCATTCATCTGATGGTCAACGTAGATTGTTTTGCGGGCGTCTCAGGTTGATCCTATCTAGCGGTGCGTTCCTCCAGATGGAAAGAAGGAAGCTTCGTTTTGTCACAGCCCACGAGGTCTTTTACTCCGCATAAATTGTACCACAAGGACAATGCAGGGAACGCGGTCACGTAGTGTGGGTAATACGCACTAGGCGAGTCAACAATCGTGTACCGCGGCCAGTAACAAGCTTCGTAAAGAGAGAATGGCGTACAATCCTGGCGTAGGAAGTAGTGAGTTACGTGGAAACTATTTCGGCCAGCCAAAAGAAAACGGCAACTTCTGCTTGTGACACTGGGTACTGATCGGCAGCAGAGTAGCTACCCTTTAGAAATTGGTTGTGTTCGTCAGCTGATCAAACCACTTTCCAAATGAGATAATTGAAGACTCTTGTGATTCTTCCTTTGTCTGGGCCCCCATCGGAATGCAATGGTGAGCGCCGAGTTGAGCAGCCGTTGCTGCCATGGCATTTATTGCCAGTTTGACTGGATGTCTACAATGGCCATGACCGCTGCGCAGTTCTGCGAGTTTCCGTCTCTCGAACATCGCGGGTGGAATAATTGCTCGAAATGTGTTCTTCGTCGGGCGTGTAAGACGTGCACGTTTAGAACAATTCCCCAGGCTGCCTGAAACCACGCACCTCGGACTGGGCGTGGTCTGCAGCCGCGCTTACACCGATTGACCGCCGCACAGAGGGCGTTCTCGCATTGGGTCGGGGATGTCTGGAACCGCCCGCCATTGTGCTCCTGTGATGCCACCTTACCGCCATACGTGACGTGATTTTGATCTCTGGGCACGGACCGCTGATGTGATTCCGGATCATAATACATATATAGGTCTGTTTTAGATAGTTGATCACTGCTCGCATCATTTTATAATATACTATCAGTGAGTGCCTCTTAGCATGTAATTTGAAATATGGCATTGGCATGACAGAGTCATAGCCATCTTGTGCATGGTTTTCTAGATACTAATCCTAATATTGATACCAGTAATTATTGTAATGTTTCTTTGGTATCGGTCGTCAAACCTAGGCAACTGGTCATATCGTGAAAGGTACCATATCGGTGCCATCTTCCTGGGAAGTACCTTAACGATCCAGAGAGCAATTACCAAAGTCTGACCACCGACACCTAATACACAAGAAAACACTCCACATACGACAGATAGTGCAGCTGTGGCAGGTCCTACAAAGGAGACTTGTCAGACGGGAAGAACACACGAAGGTAACCATTCGGAGTGAGACTCTGAGACCTGGTGTGGCAGGGTATGCATTATCAGCAGGCAATCCGCCCATCAGCATGGCGTGAGTTAACAGGCGCCCGGGTAGCCGGCTAGCTACCCTTTGCTCAGGTGTGGGAGGGGGGTAATTTGCCCCCCCCCCTAAGATCTCAGGAACTAAGAAAGCTAGAGACACCAAATTTACAGGGTATGTTGACCTGTACGTGAAATCACTTTCAGTCAAAATGTGAGGTTTCTAAGTCATGACCTTCGGGCCAAATAAGGTTAAACAAGGTAAAATTCCAGGCTGGCCTCCAAAGTGCCCCCTGAGGCTAGTTGCTTTTAAGCCAAAAGTCACATGCTCATTTAAGGTAAATGACTTTGATGACCAAAATGACCAAAATAATACAAGACTGCTATGAGTTTTGCATTTGAATAAGCGGCAAAGATTGTTATAGGTGGTACGTCTCTAAAGCCGAATGTCGACCAGGGCCATTTTATGTCAATGACCTATTCTGACCTCCAAACAGTCCATGGAAGATGTATAATGCGGTTCATGTTATTAATAAATTTGAAGTGAGCACCAGAAACTGCATCATACAACGAACCCTCGAGAAATAAAAACAGGTTGGTTTTTACCCTTGGTCTGACCTTCATACCTGACCTTAGGTCAGCGTGATTTGCTCATTTAATGCTTGTGTTGCCTGAGAAAGCATCTCAGAGATGTATGGCTTCCTATAACACTCCGTTATTGCATCAGATTGAACGACTCCCTGGAACTTGGTTTCGCTGGAACCATGTTCCGAATTTGACGTGGCCATACGTCAGGTACCTTACAAGGTACGTTTAATTTTTTTTAAAAAAATCAAATGATCCGCTATTCAATTGTGTAGAGCATTGCAAAATTCGGTGCGGCTGCGCCGTGCCGTTCGGAACCATTCCGGAAAAACCTTCGGGGAAGGGGTCAATTTGACCCCCCACCCGAGCACGTATTAACTATCACCGATACAGATGTCATCGATACATATCGATGCTATGTCGCATTTACCTCTTTTACCAAGAGTTTTACTTCAAATAGCAGGTGGTTTTTATGGCCTTGTCATCCAACTGTCCTATGAGATCAGTGACAGGTTAGCATTTGGTTGTCTCTGAGGACAGTGTTGGCTATGTCCTGATGGTAGCACCCCTACTGTAACAGGAAAGGTCTGGAAGTCATTCATTGTGCAGTGCACTCCGTTGTTGGATCAAATTGAACAATTCCCTAGAAATTGTCTTTGCTTAAACCATCGCCTGACTTTGATCTGCCATAGGTCAGCGACCTTACAAGGTAAATCTAATTTTTTGATGCCAAACGATCCACTATTTAATTATCTACAGCTAGGCAAAATATGGCGCGGCTACGCGGCGCCGTTCAGAAGGCATCTTGGAAAAACCTGTGGGGGCAATTTGACCCCCCACCCGAGTGCGTGTTAACTTAAGCAGGAAAAACCGATACATTTAAACATTGTGCCATAACTGTCCAAAGATTGTGCTGAACACTATTTCTTTGCCCAACAGATATGTGGCCGGCACATCAATGGTCAACAAGGAATAATGCCGACAGCACTGCTCTCCACTCCACTTTCCTTTTATCTTTTACCTTTTACTTTAGTCCGCACCCTAACTCTGGCTTACCGCCGACCATGACACACTCGCGCAAAGTGGTGTTTGGAAGTGTGGCTTCTGTTCCGGTATTACCACCATCTATCCCATCGGTAGGTTAAGTGCTTCTTCCCATTTCCAATTAATTTCAGTTTTGTCCTTCTCATTTAAGTGTCTACTTATAACGCCATTAATTTACTGGGTAACGCAACCACGCACCACACCAGTCACGGCCGCTCACCTTTTCATGGCTGCTCTTGGCATTTCAATTCCTTCCTTATCTATCTTGCGTAGCATTGCCCCCAAAATTAGAGGCAAATGCCCCCCACCCCATCTAACGCACTCACCAGCGCAAGAGCTACCAAATAAAACTCCCGCTTCAGTCAGAGTAATTTTTTAATCTGGTAGCGCTTTCTCTCCATGCTGACGGGCTGACAAAAAGTTCTGGCATCATCGTCAGCCGCTGCGTGACGTCACAGGCCACGTGGCTTTGTGGTCACCAGACGTAGCACTAATCATCTCCTTATAAGTCAGGAGAGAAATATGTGTCGCACTTCATCATACGCACTGCGTGGTGATCAGGCGTCCTGGCCCTGGCACGGGCGGACAATTCGGGAATCGGTGTAAGAATCGACCGGCCAGCAGCCTGATTCCCCGATCATAGATTCGCTGATCCCAGGAGCTAATATATTTGCCGCTACAACCGCAGAACTCCCTGCCATGCTCAGCAACAAGAACTGTGGTTCTTTAAAAAGCCTTACTGCATCAATTGTTACGCATCTGCAGCATCTGCAGCGTAATGCAGCAGGCATTCCATCAGATGGTGCCGCCAGTTTCCAAGCGATTTGGCGTCATCGGCATACATAAGGGTAGTCGCAAGAACTAGCCGCGCAATAAATGGTTTATTAACATCGAAAAGATGAACGGGGCAAAAGAACTGCCATTGAGCGGCAGAGGGGATTCCAGCCGGAAATTCTGCATTGACGATCGTCCTCTGACATTTATTTGACAGATACGAGATAGAGGTCCTCTTAAGACTGCTCTGATTTGCGAACAGCAAGCGTGTAACTGACGCTTTGAAGAGCGGCCGAGTAGTTTGTGTATGTGATATCCGGCTGACACTAGTCAGATATGGACTCATATGCTGCCTGAGGATAAACTTGGTGAGAACAGATCTGGGTCTGGGGAAAAGGAGTGAGTATCTAGGGATAACTGCACTAAGAAGCATCTTGTGAGGAAAGGTACCAAAACCGTTGATTTCACGGTGGTTTTCGGCGGCGGTGCCGTTTGCTTCTCTCGTCTCGGCGACATGCGTTCCTCTACGACGCGCAGCAATGCTGCGTATCAAGAAGCGTCGTTACTGAAGCCTGACCTCCGGACAGCGCCGCACGCCGGCTGTCTCACCGACTGGCATCGGGTTAAACGGCTTCTGCGCCGAAGCCGCTGGGGTCGGATGTCCCTCATCCCCTCCACCCACCGCCCCCCCCCCCCCCCTCTGTTTGGCGTCCCAGCCCGGGGCGCCGCACCCTACCCTCCCGCGTCCCCGGTCAGGGTACAGTAAACAACAGACCCTTCCAGCGTCGCCCCTAGTGCTGCGCCATACGGTGGTGCCGGTGGTCCGACCCTCGCCAGTCATCATGCCGGCCCCGACAATTGGCGCGCGCGGAGGCCGTGCCGGTCAGCGACGGGCGCTGGGCCGAGGCCGACGCGGCGGAGCTCGCACTCTTCGGCCGATGGCAGCAGGCCACGTTTCGTGCCTGAGGTGGTGCTCAACCTGCGACCTGAACACTTCGTGAACAGCCGGGTCCTGTTCAGAACGGTGGACGATCGACTGAGAGAGCAGCATCAGTATGAGGAACGGAGGCGTGCCCAACGTCAGCGGCAGGACCAGCACGGCCAGAACCGGGACCAGGCCCAGCACGGCCAGAACCGGGGCCAGGACGGCCAGAACCGGGACCAGAACGACTCTGACCTGGACCTGATGGACCAATATGACAGCCGATGGAAGCCAGGAGGGCGACGATCACCAGAGTCGGGAGGGCGACGACCACCTGAACCAGGAGTACTCGGACCGTGCCAGCTCGGGACAGAGGAGCCTGGAGGACGAGGACGATTTGGGCGAGGAAGAATCTGAAGAATGGACCTCGGACGAGGAGAGCGGAGACGAGTACCAGGATAGCCAGGACGAGATGAGAGAGAGGCAAGGGAACATCCGCCTACAAACAGAAATCTGCGAAAATGACTCGGATTTGCTCCGGTAAGTTTTGCTGCTGTTCAGCCATTTTCTTTAACTAATGGCCCTTGATGGCGATGTCTGGAGCATTACGAGCGCACCGGCCACCAACGAACGTGTCATATTAACAACAGGGGGGGGGGGGGGGGTGGGGAGCGTTCAGTTTCTGGCCGTGCGAGCTTCCCTCTGGTTACCGTAGCGTCACTGGCGACGGCTCTCGCCAGCTCCCGTTACCTGCCGCTCGCCGCCCGTGCCCGCGTCGCCGGCGTCTGTCGTGCCCGCCTCGGCTGCCGCCTTCCGCCGCCTGTGCCCGCATGGCCAGCATCTGTCGTGCCCGCCTCGGCTGCCCGCCGCCCGTCCCCGAGTGGCCGGCGTTGTCATGCCCGGGGCCGCCGCTGCCGCTGCCCGCCGCCCTTTCCCGCACGGCCGGCGTCTATCGTGCCCACGGCCGACGCTGCCGCTGCCCGCCTGCCCGTGCCCGCATGGCCAGCAATCTGTCGTGGCCCGCCTCGGCTGCCCGCCGCCCGTTCCCCGAGTGGCCGGCCGTTTGTCGTGCCCGCGGCCGCCGCTGCCGCTGCCCGCCGCCCGTCCACGCACGGCCGGCGTCTATCGTGCCCGCGGCCGCCGCTGCCGCTGCCCGCCGCCCGGCGTCTATCGTGCCCACCGCTGCCACTGCCCGCCGCCCGTCCACGCACGGCCGGCGTCTATCGTGCCCGCGGCCGCCGCTGCCCGACGCCGAACCGGGAATGTGATCCCTGACCCCTCCCAGTGCCCATAATACCGGCGACTTTCAGCGAAAACATCCGTCTGTGCGTGCGTCCGCCCCCCCCCCCTCTCTGACGTCACCGCGAGCTGCCCCTTCGCCGCCGATAACGGTCGCTCCTTCAAAATGGCCGTGCCGTCATGCGTTTTGCGACGCAAGCTGACATGGGTTTGTGGAATGTGGACTTCAATACAGCGGAAGCAAACGAACCAAATCTAAGGTTGTGAATGGGGATGCCCGTACCTACATTTTCAATGATCGCTATGTGTTATGATAACCCTCTCATCACGTGTACTTTCATTGATTTCTTACCCAAATGTTTTACGCAAAAGGCATGGGCCAGTCAAGTAGTCTATAAAACATTGCGATGCGTTGGTAACTGATAGCCCAGCTCAAATGCATTTCCATGCCTCGGCATTTGTATAATGTTACGCGCAAAAACTTTTGCGAACTCATCCCTCGTCCCTCGGGGCTACGGTTCCGGCTCAGAGACCCTCTCATGTAACGGAACTAGGCATATTAGTCACACGATTTTCCAGCAATCACTCATACCTTCGACCCGGCCGCCTGCTCTTCATTCCATTGCCGTCACGTCCATTCACCATCGCTCCACAACTGTCGCCATGACATGACGCGCTGTGGTCGGTCGGCAGGCAGATGCGGCAGGCGGCGGCCTACCTGGAGCGCCACGAACAAGGCCACATTGTGCTGATGGCGCAGGGCGCGTTCGCGGCGGTGCGGCGTCGGCTGTCCGACGCCACCCTGCTGGCCGCCGCCGAACGCACCCCCTGGCTGACCCGAACGCAGCGGCTGCGGCGGCTGGCGCCGTACGTGGAGCCCCACTGCGGCAACCTGATGCTCGAGCTCTCCAAGGCTTTCATCCAGCTGAGCGAGAGTGAGCAGACGCGCACCAAGGCTGAACACAGCCGGGACAAGCTGCAGCGGGCCCGGGACGTGATTAATGACAGCTGGAAGCAAGCCGAGCGGGGCCGTGCCGGCGCCGAGCGCGGGCGCGCCGAGGCCGAGCGCGGCTGGGCGGCCAGCCGGCAGGCACGTCACAACGCCGAGAAGGCCCGCTCCGAGGCCGAGAAGGCCCGCTCGCGCGCCGAGCAGGCCCGCGCCGAGGCTGAGGCGCAGCGCAGCGAGATCGAGAGCCGCTTCGCCTCCGTCGTCGAGCACTGCAGCTTCCACCACAGGCTCTTCGCCATCCTGTCGACGAAGCTGGAGCGGATGTCGGCGACGGTGGCGGGCGGCCAGCCCGTGACGCGCGATGAGCTGCGGAGGCTGCGTAAGGTCGTGCCCAGCATCCCACCCTGCGTCATATGGCCCAGGGCCCTGAAGAGGTGGGAGCGGGACGGGCGATGCCTGTCCTGAGCGCAGAGCGGTGGATTCGCTCATCAGCAGTGTCGCCTTTGTTCAGGAGCTCGCAGAACGATCTTAAACTAGCCAAGAAAACAGCTGCTACTGCAAAGTTTGCTTGTTGTTTTAGCCTATCTTTGTCTGATATATTTTGGTCTAACCTTGATCCAAACCGTGCGTTTAAGCAGCAGCTTTCGTCTCGCTCTCTTGCGCAGCTTTTGCGAACGCCCACCAAACATCAGTCACCGCTCCACTTTGTTAAACTTTCCGGAACCGGTGCTGTGTCGCTACTCTCCCTCCCCCACTCCACTCCTGCTGCCTGCGGACTCAGTGTCTGGCCCATGGCCGAAGAGCAAGGCACAAGCCCACATAGCCGTCGGCGGTAGCGGCCGTCCCCAACGGCCCCCGGCGTCCGCTCCTGTGTGCACGAGCCATTCGCATTGAGCCACCATGCCTTTATCCCAGTCTTCAGCTGCCCGCCAGACGAGCCTCTCGCTGGGATCACGCGTCGGGGCTGGGCCACGTGACGACCGCGGAGCGAGCCGTGGCTGTCGGCGAGAGACGCGGAGCTAGTTGTGGCTGTTAGCGAGAGACGAGGAGCTAGCTGTGGCCGTCGGCGAGAGACGCGGGGCTAGCTGCGGCTGTCGGCGAGAGACGCGGAGCTAGCCGTGAATGTCGGCGAGAGACGCAAAGCTAGCTGTGGCTGTCCGTCCGCAACTGTGTCTGTGCTACGTTGGCAGCTGCGCTCCTTGTGTACGCATATGCATTGCATTGGTAAGCAGGCATCCGTAGTGTCCGTGGTGAAAACGTGCAAATTGTACTCACAGTTGAGCCGTGATCGGGATGAGTCGAAGGTGTGTGTGTTTGTTTCCGAAAGTCCCACGTCAGCATTGTTGAAATAAAGGTGCCTTGTAAACTGCAGAAACTGTATGCATCATGCACTACATGAACTTGTGTCTTTCTGTCGAAGAAGCTCAGACTTAAGGTAGGTAATTGCGTTGGTTGATATGATGCAGACTAACTCCATGTGCCACCGACCTTGTCCAAATAGTTTTTCATAAATAGATAACGATTCGAGGCATTGTTTCTGTGAAAAGAGTTTTCCATCTTTTTTAGAACAAGCGATACAAAAAAAAATGAATGAAAATGCCGTACTTCATAGCTGCCAACATACCCGTCTCAAAACAAATGAAATGTTACACGTGCGCTTTTTCGGTCGTCATGCCATTGACATAGCGCCGTATTTGAAAGTGCCGCTATGTGGCAACTGACTCATAATGGGCCCGCTTGTTCTGGCGATATCGTTGCCAGGTTATCGCAGCGTACATAGCTCGGGAGAACAAACGTCAAGTTAGTCAGGGGATGGTGAAGCCTTGCAAGGATTAGCAAGAAAAGTTTTTCGGTACGCCCAATCGCTTATGGTACATGAACAATTCCACTGAAATACGACAAATCGTTCCTCGGCTCCCCTTGTATATCTCGATGGCAGGCGTACCAATCCCACTGTAGACCTTTCGTAAAGACCGCCTTTTCATAGAAGACTTGATGGTGCTTAAACGCTCAAACTTTCAGTTCTCGTCGCGTTTATTGAGTACAATACTTGCCACCAGATGAGCGCAGTTTGCTCTCATGCCCGACATAGTTATTTGCGAAACGCATCCATATCAGCATAAACAGGAGTACACCCGGCTGTAATAGACGTATCTCTACTCTCTGCGCAGTTATTTAGAGCTATTGCCACAGGACGCACCACGAGCGCGACATTCACTTTTTGTGGGAACGAGGCGCGCGTCGCCGTACGCCTTTTAACACCTGCCCCAATAGCGTGCCGATACACAACTCCCTAAGGTTTTCTGAGGAAAGCCCTCCGGCAGGTCGTAGAATCGCGCCCTAATTTTCGGTGGCCTCTGATACATCCAATGCGCAGCGTGTTTTGTGTTTAAAACTAATTAAATGTGCCCTTATCAGTTAGGGTTTCTCAGAAGCGAAGGTTTTTCAGGAACACTGCACGACGATCCACGGCCGGCGCAGGAGGTGGGCGAATGTCGACGAATCCGCGGACCGCGCGGGGCGGGCTGACACTGTTTCATTTGGCACTACATCATAAACATATGCTTAAAACACATACAACTACAGCCCCTTGTACCTAGATTTAAACGGAAAACATGCCTGTTTAAGCGTCGCAGCGCTACCGTGCATGGTCTCGCACATCTCAATCTAAAGCTGAAAAATTAGATTTTCCGTAAAATTTGACCTTTGATCCGACCAATTTCAATCAATTATTGCTCCAGCAAAAGAAAACATATTAACATCGCGTGATATCGTTGAGATCAATTAACTAATAATCCCGCGAGACTCTGTTTTACTTGGTTCCAAAACGGAAGGGGGTTCATTCACACGGACCCCACGCCCACACTAACAGTCGGCGTTGTAGAACACGGCGAATCAGAAGAAAGGTTAACGGAACGTCAGCGACTCGCAGGGTCAATATTGGCGTTCAGGGCTGTGGTATAGACATGTTTCAAACCCAGCCCAACGTGCGAGTCGAAGGCGCTAACCACGCGGCCATTACGCCCCTTACGTCGGGCGTTCTGCCACAGTTCAACTCAGCATCCAGCGAACGCTTCCAACAGGTGTAATCGGCCGCGCCTAACGCAAGTTTTGACACGGGCGATGTCTGCCGTGTGGCCCTGGGTGACTAGCTGTGACTGGTTTACCAAGCCGCCCTCTATATCACGGATTCAGTACAGTTACGTAATCTGGCAAGGATTCGACAGATCAAAAGTCCAAGCAATAAAATAATGATAATGGCACACTTCCCTGCACTAGTGCGTTCCACCTCTCTTGAAATCCTTTCACAATCTGGAACACATGCTGTTGGAATTAAAATCCCTGAGGTACATGTACACGTTGGTTTTTGTGAAGGAACACACATTTTGACCGTAAAATAGGACTTTCATTATGTAAATGTTTGCAGTCTTCTTTCCTGATGATGTTCATGAGCACCAGGTGGACCTGAAAAAGACCATTGTCACTTGCACCGGCTAGTCTCTATCAGACTGTCTCTGTTACTATTAGCAGCGACGTGAAGCGAATCCGATTTCAAGAACATGCCATTGCTGCGAGGTTGTAGAATTTAGAACAAAATTGACACAAAGAACGGGTCAGAAAACCTCAAATGTCTTCAAAATTTGCGTAGCGGTGAGAACAATGACCCAACAAAGGGCAATTGCCGACAGCGGATAATGAGACGAAGGTCGAGTAATGTGACAAAGAGTACCGCTCAGTTAGTGTTCGTTATGGAACAGACAATGCATCGGTAACCAGGAAGGTTGATAATGTGAAATAGTGTCAACTCGCCTCTTCGCCTGTAGCTGTGCAGGATACAATGCGTGCACCTGTAGTTGTAAATGCATTATGCGTATTGCGCTTGAACGCCATCGTGCATAATTTGCAAATTGTGATGGTCACCTACCGGCCCGTTGCAGAGTACTGGTGTCCTACTCGGCACTCAACAACACTTTATTGCATGTTGTTGCCATAGTTCGAGACTTAGAGGCCCAGCTGGCGCCAGCAGGCTCGTCGCGTGACGTCTGTCCCCACCTGCGTCCCGCGGAGGGTCGACGTGGTCGCTACCGGCGCGGGTAGACGGCGCCAGCGGGCACGAGTAGCAGGCAGAGCGGCACCACCGCCAGAGGGCCGGGCATACCGCGTCCAGCCGCTGCCCGCCGAGCGCGCCAGGGAGTCAGACGACAGCCGACAGCAGCACAGCGCTCAGAACGGGCTCGCCAGGGTGTGAGGGGACGTCGGGGGACATCCAGCACGACCTCGCCGGGCGGGGCGTCACACTCGGGTGACTTGAAATTTGCCCCTGAACCGTGTACGTTGACAGGAGGCCACCGTCAAAGGCCATAATGAGCCCCGGGCCCGCGGCCACGAACGTGATCCTGTCTTTGCACATGCAGCTTGGTAGCTTGACACAAACCACTCGATTTGAAATGAAGAGATGCACAAAAATTTAGTGAAGCCTTACCCTGGCTTCTGCACAAGACTGCACAAGACTAACGCAGACCATGCGTGTGCGACGGAGTCATGGAGTCGTGCTGCAGTCGTCGGAGCCCAGTGGTTGTGAAATCCGGCAAACAGCTGGGGCAAAACTCCCCTTCTGCATCCTCAGATGCTCGTCAATGGGGACACCAGCAACCATCACTGTGAATCTTGATGGTGCTATTTAACGTGGCCTGCGTGATGTGATGTATTACCAGCGTTGCCGGTTTTCGGTGAAATTTTTTCATCTGGGGGGGGGGGGGGCGCTGCTACACGTGGACTTAAAATGGTTGCTAATGAACTTACATGTGCTTGCAGCCAGGGTCGCACCTGAAACAAACCAGTGCGATGTTTATGAACTTGGCGTACAAAACGTCACACGCGTAAAGCGTACGATGGGCGCAAGCTGAAAGTGCAGTACCGTAATTCAAACCATGTGAGCGATCGCTTTTGCTTTGCTTTGATCGCACTGCTTTTAATTCGGTTGAGCTAACACTGACAACATTGTCCGGTAAAAAGCATACAATGCATGGATCAGACCGAAAGGCGTAGTAAGTGGCTTCATTTGTTTACTTTAGCGTTTCAGGTTCATTGCTTTGCCACGCTTTCTCTGTCTCAGGTTGATGCAAAATGTATTGGGCAATACCTGGATAGAATCGTTTCGTGATGATGCAGGGCTTAAAGTATGTTGGAACTAACACAGCTTGTCTATGTTAGGCACATTACCACCACAAAATGATAATATTCCTCGCTTAAGAAGTCATCTGCACCTGTCATAAACTACGCGGACTGCGCCTTCGGGGTAGCGTACATACAGTGAAATAAACATGTGGTAAATGAACAAACATAGAATGCATCAAATTCAATCTTATATGCCAATATGACAGACATGACGAATCTTCGTGAGCTGTTAGATAATTTAAGGCGCGCTCAATCCTGGCTGAGTTCTGTTCCGCCATCGTTCGCCT